CGGCAGGTTCTCGGTCAAATCTATGTATCTGGATGTCATAAATACTAGTGTCATTCCTCGCTCGAAGCACGTCTGGAAAGTTAAGGTACCTTTTCGAATCAAAGTGTTTATGTGGTTTGTGCATAAACAAGTCATTTTGACAAAGGATAACCTGGCAAAACGCAATTGGATGGGTTCTGCTAGGTGTAGTTTTTGTGATGGTAACAAAACTATCAGGCACCTATTTCTAGATTGTCCGCTGGCTAAGATTCTTTGGCGTTCGATTCATATTGCTTTTAATATTACTCCACCTACCTCTATCAATATGTTATTTGGAACATGGCTTGATGGGGTTAACTTGGATTTAGCAAGACACATTCGTGTTGGAGTGTGTGCCTTGTTATGGGCAGTATGGAACTGCAGAAATGATTTGGTTTTTAACAGAGCAACGAACTTTCACTTTTTGCAGGTTATCTTTAGGGCCACAGCATTGATCCGTATGTGGTCGCTACTCACACCGACGGAGGCCAGGGGGCGTTTGGCTACTGCGTCTACCCGATGGGAGATGGTAGCTCAGGTTATTTTCAACCGGTTTGGATGGCGGTCATGTAATAGGATAGGCATGTAGTGCTCCTATTTTATTTGCCAGCCGGTTGTGGCTCTATGTTTAGGCTCGCTTGAGCAACCTTTTTTATTTTCTAACTTTCAGATTTTGGAGACCTTGTGACTGGTTTTGATTCGTTAATAATATGAGCCGTATGCATCTTTCTGATGCAGAGGCTGGGGTCATACCCCTTTTCTAAAAAAAAAAACTTGCTAAGATTTTAGTGCACCAACATAATAATAGGCATGCAGTCACATGCTAATATGCTAGAATGTCTATGTCCCCTTTGCAACGCATGGACAATTATTTACTAGTATATAATTAATTTGAGATTATGAAGAGGGCGATCCAATTTGTAATTAGTACATATTTTTTTTGATAGTCAACTTAATTTGGGGCTATTAATTTGTCGAAAATAGTATATCTTGTATGTATATCTTTTTTCATCTTGTCGCGAGCGATCTCTTCACCACCAAGGCGCCGCGCTTCCCCCTCGCCTCCCCTCCCTCCGCCGCCGCCTGAGGGCCTCCGAGGAGGGTTCTCGGCCCCAATGATGGTGGCGGCGGGATCTGGCGCCTCCTCTCAGAGGGCCTTAGCTCCCCGGGGCGGCGGCCCCGGCCGATGGGCGCGGTGCAGCCGGCGGGCTCTGGTGGGCAGCCTCCCACGGCCGCGGGCGGTGTGGGGGCTGCGGACGCTGGCGCAGTGGCGGTTCCTCGCAATCCGTCATGGCTCCATGTAGAAGATCCGCCCCTGCTTCGATCTGTCCCGATCCGTGCTGGCGCCGGTCCTTGCGCCCCTATGGCCGGCCTGGCGGATCTGGCATGCGGGTGAGGTTCCGGGGGAAACCCCTGGCTGGCGCGGCAGCCTCCCCAAAGTCGACGCCTTTGGCGCTGATCCCCTTCCTGAAGGCTTTGGGCTGGATCCTCTCCCTTCCGCTTCCTCCTCGAGCTATGGCCAAAGCTTTTGTTCCCCTGGTCTGGGCGTCGACGGCACCCTGGTGTCGTGCTCCTTCTTGAAGGCGGCGGCTGGGAACAACTCTTGGTGGCGGGGCTGCTGGTGGCGTGGTGGCGGTGCGCTTCGGCCTTCTACTTGGTGCTGCGCCTTGCTTCGCGGGATCAGCGGACGGTTTCTTTGGTGGAGCGGTGCTTCATCCATACATTGATGGCGACGGATCTTGACGGCGTGGCGCAGTGCAGATTCGGAGTTCGATGTGGGAGGATGGACTCGCGCAGGAGGACGACGCTGTTTGGCGTCGTGGTGACGTCGATGGCAGAGAGATCTGGCATGGTAGATGCAACAGTACAGCTCTAAAGATGGACTCATGGCAGGTGGCTGCGGCGGCCTCATACCCGGCAGGCGTCCTGGTTGAGAAGTGCGCCGGACTGGTAGGTGCCGCATACCAGGCAGGCGTCCTGGTTGGGACCTCAGGTCTTAGATGTTTAGGTTTGGTTGCGATGTCTGTTTGGTATTAGGCCTAGACTATCAGCGCCCCTTCATCATTTGGATAGGCGTAGCGACAGTTGTTGCTTAGACGGTGGCTTTAGTCTTGCTGTTGTATTACCTTGTAAGATCTTGTGAGAATAATTAATAAAGTGGCCGTATGCATCGCCCAGATGTAGAGGCCGGGGTCATCCTCCTTTTCTAAAAAAAAATATCTTTTTTCATCAATAAGTTTGTACAATACTAGAAGGATGTCTTGCATACCATAAAGAAAAATATAAGGGTGTCACACATTAATTACCGAAGATATATGGTAATAAAAAGAGAAAGATTTGTTTTTATATATATATGAACCATGGATCAGAAGGCTGCAGGTCAACCGAAGACACATCCTATCATTCTTGGATCAGATTAAAATTGCGATCGTGATCGATTGGCTGCATCATGGGAGACTGCACTAAGCGCGTTAACGCACTGTTGCTACTTCTTCTCGTATGCTTCGCTATTCATGGGCAGTGTAAGTGGCACTCATATTTCCCTATCGATCGATTATTTAACTCTACTTTCGTTTAGTTTCTTTTATTAGTTTTGAATATTGATGGTTTATTTGTCGTAAACTTTTATAGTTGAAGTCATCGGTGTCAATGGCGAGCGTATTCCTCCGTGGTGCACAAAGAGTGCAACTATACCAATCTGCAACCCGGATAAATATAGATGCTATTGTTGTGTAGGCAATTGGCAATGCTACAAAACAATGGACGAGTGTAGAGCCAAGTGTGCATATTTACCTCCCTCCTCTTCCTCTGTACTTCCATGAAACCGGATTCTTATCATGAGCTGGAAGAAAAATGAATAAGATCCAGACAACAAACAATTTGCTATGAACTTATTTGGCAATTATTCTTTGCAGTTTTTGGTTTGCGAATTCCATGTTGTACTCCATGCAACATAAATATTGTTCTGTTAGAAAATATGCTAGATCGAAATTAATTAACTGAGTATATTAGAACATAATTGCTATTTCACATCTAGATGTAATATACTTATCTCACATCTAAGTGCAGTACCGTTCGATGTGTTTCTGCTTGATTTTTCGTGCGAGCTTCTGATCCCCGTCCAGCGCTCGCACCCCGCGCTGGTGTGGCTCGCATCGGCCCGTTTGTCGTCGTTGTTTCACGTTTTTTTGTTGTGGCCCATTGTTATACTTCGGCCTTGGGCCCGTTTCTGTTTGCTTGTCCGGAGTTGTTTCCCCAAAGGAGATGCAGGGCGTTCTTCAGCCCGTTCCTCTTCTCACTCCATTCCTCTCTCTCATCCATCTGCGAGCGACGGGAGCATGAAGGAGAAGGTGGCCAGGTCGCTCTGGGAGAAGAGATGGAAGGGCAGTGGGATGAGGTGAGTACAGCAGAGGAGACGAGGCGAGTAAGGAGAGCAAGAAGGAGAAGTTGGATTTATAGCTGAAAAGTTGAATATTTACATACAGTACTTGTGCTGCTATGTCTCTTATACTTTCAGAAACAGATGAATTTATCTGTCCTGTTCTGTTAAACCTGAAGATAAAACTCATATGTATATGTTGGTTAACTCTCCCATATCTTTAGAAACATACTGCGTCATCAAACTGCATGTGTCTGTGTTCTTTTTGTGGTCCTGAGGATAAAGATCATCTTTACTTCGCAGATCGGTAAGCTGCAGACTACTTTCCATTGGTGGGGGCAAGTTTCTTCAAACACTGGAGAATATGTTCAACTAACAAAAGAGCTTCTCACCAGCTGTGAAAGCATTGAGTGGCAGGTATAACAACTCAGCAAAACAGCACCAATAATCACTTTGATCTTCATTCGATACTAATCTATATGGCAGGATATGCATCTGATTTATCGAGTCTAAACTTTTTATTGCCATATATTTATTCTGGCCTGACTAGTTTTTGTTTATGTTTGAGGTGGATGAGTTGGAAAAGACAATTTCAGTTGCATCAAGGGATCCAGCGTATTATGGACTCGATGAAGTTGAACTCTCCAGACGACAGAACTGGACCGGCTCTGCTCGTAATCAGGTATTTCTTTATGTGTTCCATCATTTATTTACATACTTCGTCTGCCTTTATTATAATAACTGGACTGGCTTGAGGATTGTTCCTGAACAAGTTATACTACAGATTTCTTTCATTGTTTTTCTTCTAGCTATGTCATAGGATTACCAATGAGGCACATCCGCACATGTGTTATCTCCCTTTTTAGAACAAAAATGTGGTACACTTGAGCATGCATGGACGGCACTATTACAGCTGAATATGACGATATCCTTTAGCCTGTAAAAGAGGAGACAGATGGGAATGACATTTATGTTAGTGTGCTTTTATCTTTACGATTGGCAAAGTGAAGACTATTTATTTTCGATTCATATCTTTGGACAACCACCAGATTGGTACTGTAAAAAGAGCTGTTGAAAAGGGGAAGAGTAATCCTGCAATGGCAAGATATCAGGACAATGGCACAAGCAGAACTAACTACTATTCTTCCCAAGACAATGATGACTATATTGCTTCAGAATCAGATAGAGAGCTTCTACTAATGAGGTGAGTTTGCTCACTCTTACTTTTACTACTCATATACTGTACAAATATGTTGGTTAGAAACATGTGCTCCAAAAAAAGAAACTTATTATCTGTTCAATATGAGTAGGATTACTCAAGATTCCCCTTGTATGTAAGTAGGTGGTGTTTAATTTAAAGTTATGGTGTTCTATGCATGCTAACCATTTTTACTAAGGTTTTTTCAATGAAACACCCTAATTAGTAGAAATATCATGTTTACATTCTATTTAGTGTCTTTGTTGCTCCTCCTCGATAATACAACCTTTTCATGAACTGAATCATCTTATCTGTACGTGCCCATTCTCGTGCCGCCCTTGAGAGACCTGTATGAGTATGCTCTTGGTTATCGTTAACTAACTCTTTTTACTGAATTTCTTTTAGGCAGCAGGATGATGAACTCGATGAGCTCAGTGCGAACGTTCAGAGGATTGGAGGTGTAGGGCTTACCATACAAGAAGAACTATGTGGACAGGTAGTTGCCACTGACTGGCAAGCAGACTTCTAGGTTGCTGCATGGGCGTGCAGTTGTTTTTCCGTTATGCATGTAGCGACATAAAAATGTGCATGTTAGCATGTTACTGGCAGAGGAAGTAACTGGAGTACATGCTACTTTTTTCACAGGAAAGGATCCTCAACAACCTAAGCCTGGAGATGGAAACTACTTCCAACAGGCTCGACTTTGTGCAGAAACGAGTGGCGATGGTGATGAAGAAGGCCGGCATCAAAGGGCAAATCATGCTCATCCTCTTCCTGGTGGTCCTCTTCATCATACTCTTCGTTCTAGTGTTTTTGACATAGCAATATACCACTACTTGTATGGATGCGGATTTTTAGAGCTTAGGCTCATGGACACCTTCTATCCATACCTTCAATATAGCTTTGAGATCCGTGCTAGACAATTAACTTACAACGTGAAATTTTCTCTGTTTCGTTGCTTCCAAATAAAACAACATATGAACTTCAACCTTTGCAACATAGCAAAACATTCTTATTACAATGAGAGAAAAAACTTATAGATTTTGTTACTTGTATAGCGTATAGTGTACGTATGTCCGTGTACCTGCTTACTGTAAGTTGTGTTCCACATTAAGCATTCAGCCTGTAGGCTGTGTTCCACGTTTAAAAGAAAAATCTCTTGCGGTTGTGCTTGTTCTATCAAGCTTGAGATTATCAATTTAGCATTGCTTAGAGACGATAGAAGTATTGACAGTTGGGAAACATAGATAGTCTCCCCATAAAATAGATAATGTTGTAGTAAGCACCTATCTGAACACTCAATCGGCATCAAAAGATGGCTTGAAAAAGGTACCTCAAATATATCTACGAATCCGATGAACCAAAAGTGCTATTCCGGCGTGTAAGCTTCTCGTAAAACTAGTATGTAAGAATAAGATTGCTCTTTTCTTTTTCCTGTGGTTGTGTTGCAATACAATTTGGGTACCACTTACTAGGTACCTTCTCATATCTACATACAACATGGATTGTACATGGACCCTCATCGCCCATATAAGCCAAAATTATGTCATTTCCATTACTCTCTCACGAGAACGTACAAGTACTGAAATTACTTCTGAATTTGGATTTGTGTGGATTGTCTTTAGAATACAATTGGATTTCAGGATTTGCGGGAAACATCTGTGTATGACTGAATATCTGTAAAACTGATGCGAAAATTCACCAACACTATGTTGCAATGAATAAAATTGTGAAATTCGGTGAAGTGCCGGTGGAATGATTCCAAAATCGGTGAAATTGTTTATATTCCATAAAACGTTTTAAATCTAAATAAAAAAATTACATGAGTTATCTAACACTTTTTGAAACTTTTGTGAAAAAATTGTTGAAATGGAACTGAAGCCAAAGAATATGCAAGAATGAAAGCTCCGATTGCTATACTCTAGTAATCATAATTTCATAACCGCATTAGCGAGAACGAGGCAAAAATTAAAAATTGTCAGTAAGGCTGGTCATAGTGAGAGTAACATAACTAGTAACATACAGTATCCCAAGACACGTCCGCTTTGACGGTTGGAGTTGCCGCCTACCTTGGGCGTCCCCATTTGGATTCAAACCATTAGGTTTGATGCGGCGGTCTTTGCTCCTCTTGGTGGCGGCGTCCCGCAGTTGGCCAGCGGTGCTACCTAACCCTTGGCCATCTCCGACAATTTCGAGCCGGGGTCTGTGGCTTGTTGGGGGGTGGCGACAGGGTTACTGGTCCGTGGTGGTGGACGATGTTTGGCGCTGCACAGGAATTGGGGGCTGACTTGGTCCGCACTGGGGCAAGCCTTCGCATTATGGTCCACTTGCTTGCTACTATCATGGCGTCGGTTCGAGTTGCGCTCTCTGGGCGCTATTGTGTCATTGGACGGATCGGCGCCGAGGACCATGGATTTGGCGGCGCTTAAGCGTTCTTGGCGGTGGCCCTCGGGTAGTCATTGGGTTGCATCCCCCTCATTGCGGTTCCGAACACAAGACCATCCAGATGGTCAAAGTTGCCTGCTACCTTGGGCGTCCCCATTTGGATTTGAACCATCATTTTTGATGGGTAGGTATTTGCTCCTCTTGGTGGCGTCATCCTGCAGTTGTCCGGCGGCGCTACCTGACCCTTGGCCATCTCTGACAATTTCGAGCTGTGGTCTGTGGGTTGTTGGGGGTGGCGGCAGGGTTATTGGTCCTTGGTGGTGGACAATGTTTGGCGCTGCACATGTATTGGGGGCTGACTTGGTCCATGCCAAGGCAAGCCTTCACGTTATGGTCCACTTGGTTTCTACCTAATCACGACGTCGATCCGAGTTGCGCTCTCTGGGCGCTACTGTGTCACTGGACGGATCGGCTCCGAGGACCATGGATTTGGTGGCGCTCAAGCATTCTTGGCGGTGGTTGTCGGTAGTCATTGGGTGGTATCCCTTGGTCCACCGGGACCGGCTGGGGACGAGGGCGTGGGCACCTCCTATGATGGGGGCGTCGACCCATGCCTGGTGGCTGATGTCGGGTTAGGAGTGAAAGGGGACACCTTTCACTTCTACTACCTTGGTTGGGTGGTCATGATGTGGATGGTTGGCGGTGCCTAGGGGCATGGGTGCCGGGGCGGCGGTCCTGGAGGGCGGACTCCACTGTTAGCTTTCTGGCATGTTGCATGGTGGCGGTGGTGGCTTCACATCTTGGTCGTGTGGGCGGCAATGGTTGTAGTGGTGGGAGGCTCTGGTCTACTCTGACTGTGCCCAGATTTGGTGTGGATGGGCTGACCCTCCGGTGGTGTACGCGAGTTACCGAGCTAAAGCTTTGGGTTTCTGGCACTGCCGTCACCGTGGGTGCCGCTTGCTTCCTGAAGACGTCGTCGTGGGACTCTTCCTTGTGCCAGAGCTCCAGGTGAAAACTCTAGTCTGTTATTTGGATTCGGCAACGGCGACGCTTTGCGCCGTCACTCTCTTGGGGGCGTTGTCGTAGTTCTCAGGAGTCTTCGGTCGGGCCTCGGCTAGGTGATAGGCTTGTTCTAGGTTCATGCTTATCTTTTGATCTTCCTTGTAAGGGGGTCTCCCCACTATATTGTATCGCTTGTCTGTGTACTTTGTTTTGTTATTGCTTTATATATAAAGTGGGGCGAAAGCTTGTTGAGAGAGAGAAGACTGAAGGCCTAGCATGCATCTCTTCTTCCCTTCCGACGCATGTCAAGATAATAGGAGCTGAAAATATCAAAAAGTGGGTGAAAACCACATTAAAACCCTTTTGTAAAAGTGACAAAATATCGAGCCATCACTTGCTTGAACTTGGGGGCAAGATGGAAGGTTGCTGGGAGATCGAGGCTCGGGAAAGGCACTGGAGATATTGACTGAGAGATGGAGTGTGCGTGGTGGTCGCGGGAGAGAGGAGCTGCTGGGGTTGGGTGGTCGCGGGAGAGAAGGGTTGTCGGGGTCGTGGTGATTGTTGGACAGGAGCGGTGGCTTGGATGAGGAGGATGGCGGTTGCTTGGTGGGTAAATTTGGCGAGGGCGAAAAAAAACAGACGAATCAATTTTCTCTTGTCGGTGGCAATGGGAGTCATATACGTAAACGTCGGTCAATCAAATGACAAATGTAATGACCATACAAATGCTTCCAGATTTAATATTAATTATTTATTACTCCCTCCGTCCCAAAATAAGTTTCGTAGATTTAGTACAAAATGGGACAGAGGGAGTATTATATACATAGGCACATGTATAGATTGTTGCATAATTAGAAGTAAAATGATGCGTTCATTGCTATGATCAAACCCACATGCTAGAATCCATGCGAATAGCTTCGGAAATATTGGAATGCACGCATTCAAATGTCGAACATGGGAAAATGATACTGCCAAGAAAGATAAACATACATAATGGGTAGTGGGTCACATCTTTGCATCTGTCGATTAGTCTAATGTGTGTGACAAGTATATAATTCATGCAGAAAGAACATGATTATAGAATTGCTCCCTCCTTTGAAAAATATAATTGACGCTCTGTTTATGCAGCTTCACTCTGATGATGAATATGATTCACAATGTTTTCCTTGTAGTTACATGACTGTAAGTAGTGCTTTTGAGTACATATCTGATGATCATTTCCATATAACACAGCTTGTGAATTGTCGAACTAATGCATGGAAAACAACATTAAATATCTGAAGTAAAAGTCGGAGTAATTTATGGTGATATAATACACTAGCCGAACCCTAACCCTCTACATATCTCATGTCACATAACCCGTGAATTGTCAAACTAATACATGGAAAACAACATTAAATATCTGAAGAAAAAAGATAGAGTAATTTATGGTGGTATAATACACTAGCCGAACCCTAACCCTCTACATATCTCTGAGGGAAAAGCCACATGGGGGGATGGACACCGCCCATTACATAGTACCCTATTGAAATGATGCCTTTCACACCATTGGCGATAATTTCATCTTGCTTCTAATAAATGTTGTAACCATCATCATTTAAGCTTGTCCAGAATACCTTGACGTCATTAGGGATCTTATCATTTCACCTTAAGCAACGATGATGGGAGAAGTAGATGTGGTTTTCCTTCATGTCACTCCACCCACCCGCCGGCATGCACATTGCTTTGGAGCCTGTTGGGCCCAGGAATAGCGTGTAGTCTCTTAAGCTACTCACCTTTGCCCAGCTGTATCGGCCGTCGTGGACTAGCTCGAAAACCGTGAATCTGTTTTTTCCGGTAGGCGTGAAGCTGTTGCGCAACCTATAATTACTCACCACCATTACAAGGTTGCCACGTAGCTCAACAAGACACCTGATGTGCTCGTCAGGGCCCATCTCGTAGTAGTAGTTGTAGTTTTTAGCTTGCACAATGAGAAGATGTTAATATGAAGCTCTAAATGTTCGTTTACACCACCAAACTTGAACTTGATGAGCATCTTGGTGTCTCGCGTGATGCCATAGAGCTCGCCATTGCAAAAGGCGATATCCATAAGATGATCATTGCCACGCGGTCCTCGTATCATCCACAGTACCTCCTGGCACAAAAGTCCTCGGATCATCCAGCCAACCTCCGGGCAGCCAACCTTGCAGAATGCGAGCTCGTGCGCATTGGTGATGGTGGCGACGATGCAACTCCTCAAAGTGGGCCGCTGAGAGAAGACGACCTTCCGCAAGACTAGCGGGTCACCCCTGCTCTGGCGTGTGTGGAACTTGGTCTTTGAAGGGAGCGCCACCTCTGCGCCCGAGAAGAAGTTAACGACCTTAAAGGGCGCCTCCGACGAGGCGACCCAGCCTTCATCGTGGCTGCCCACGAAGCACCTGCGGGCGGCCTCGCCG